AGGCATTTAATACAGCTGGTACAGAGAGGTGTTTGTTTTACACTGACAGGAGTGTGGTATGTGTATACATTCTTATTTGTCAATGTCATAGTTGTACCAACTGTACGTGCCCCATAAAGATATCCCATCCTTAACCCAGCTGGACTCAGATTACTCTGGATAAGACCTCTTTGCACAGTACAGCTAATCCAGTCACCATGACAACAAAAAAGACATTTCCCTGCACCCATCCCACTAAAGTGCTTCCCTTGCGGATCAAGACTGTTCCTGCTTTCCCAAATTCTTTGTCATCAATTCCGCCACTCGCTGCTCCACTGAAATCCCAAAAGCTCCACGTTCTACAAACACAGGGATAAAAAATCGGTTTCCGTCAAGAAAGTAGAACCCTGAGGAGGTGTTTTGGGGGCTGTCATGCTTATAATCATAAGAAGCCAACTCTAATTCCCCCTTGAAACCGATTCGCTCTTATTTTTGAAGGTTTTGATAAAATGCCACAGCGGCAGATTGATGTAGGAGGAGGCTCCAAAGTATAGGGATGCAAAGTGTAGAAGCAGACTCAAGTCCCACGTTAAGCCGTCAAAAAACAAAGTATACCAGCATGCCCACCCGCGACAGAGCACGACACCCTTGGGATGTCCTTGCCCAAAAAGTCAATCGCATAACTTTCCGTCAGCAGCTCTCCTCCATTCTCCCTGTTGATCCTAAACAGCAACAGGCTTCTCCCAGTAAACAGCAGGCCGGCAATCGTCACTGAGCTGACGGAAAGGAGAGCACAAGGTTGCGACTGTCACGGGCGTGCTCAATCACCCGCGCGCCGCAGAGCTCAGACATTTCCTGCAGCTGTTTTGGGGAGACATAAACACGAAGAGAAGTGGCTCCTGTGGTCACATTTAATCGCCTCCAGCGACTGGGTAAATAAGGTGGGAAGCTCCGCTCCGTAGGCCGTGTTGACAACCGCTAAAAGGGTCTGTATAACCACAACCACTGCCTGCCCAGGGATCCGATTACATTCTGCCTCTTTTTTATAGACATGCGAGGGGCAAGGCCCGGGTCGTTCGCTCTGCAGGCGGAGAATGCAGATGGAAACCAGCGGGCGGATGATGTTTTTTACGGGTGCCCTGCTTCTTGGAGCTGAGGAGGATTCTGGGAAAAGGCCGGGGGCATGGACTCGCACCCCGTTGCTTCAGGATAAACCCTCCTGTGAGGAACTGCAGTGGGAAGAGTGGAACCTTTGGAAAACAGCAGCTCACCTGCCTGCCTTTCAGCCCTTTGGTATTGTTTTAAATTGCCAGCAAGGGATGCCTATACGCTACAAGAAAGAGGGATAGAGAGCCGCATCTATTTGCATTGATGTGGTGCTCACTGTATTCATTCGATTGATTGCCCATGGAATATCTGTCTGGCTGCAGACCACACTCCTTGATGTATGCCATTGCAGATGAAATCCTCTTCTAAATAGCGCTGAGCCGTACTCACTGGAGCATTTCTCCCCCGTCACAAAAGGTCCATTAAAAGCAGAATGCGCCTTTGAAAGTCACACACGAATGGAGAGCACCGAAAAAAAGACAGGTGTCTCAGGCAGGTGAATACGGGCAAACCGCAGCAAAGGCCTGACGTGATCCTGCCCAGGAAGACAGCAGCCAACTCCCCTCTCAGACCTCGTTCAAAAAGCACACCCGCCCAGCTAGCCGCGTTTCAGCTTTCACACACCAAGGCAGCGACCTCCTCCTCCCTCCATAGCGCACTGTCTTGTCGGTCCCGTGCCCCCGCCACTGCTCCGGTGTCTGATATCTTCATCGCCGGGCTGGGCCGTGTTCGAGCCGGTCGCCGAAAGGAGGTGTCGGCCCGCGAAAGCCTGTTTCCACCTCCTCCGGCCCAACGCCAGCGAACCGTTTTCTCATCAGCCCGCAGGGACTCCCAGCGGCATGCTTTTCATCACAGGAAACACTGGGCCAGACTGGGCTGAGGGGCAGATCAGATAAGGTTTAAGTGCAGACGGCAACAGAGTGGCTTTGAATGGAAAAGCAAACATGACAGACATTGATTTCAGATCTCCTACTCCAGATTTTCTGTTTATATACTACAGATGAGGAGTAAATATATCTATGTATTACTTTATCGGGTAGGCTGACGATGTAGTTTATTTACCACAAACGAAGGGATTTCACAGTTCCAAACCAATATGCTAAACAAAGTCTGATACCATTTTAACATTGCCTTAACCTGTTCATCAGCAGCTATGAGGGAACTTGGTCCACAGTGGGCGTAACACACAGTCACACACACCTGTGCACAAGAGACTCTGACCATGACAAAATGATAGTCCCTTTAAATAAAACCCTAACATTCAATACAGTGTAAATAAGGGGAAGCTAGGTGTAGTGTTACTCATCTTCCATATGGACAGGGCTGAGCCGCCAATCTAAAGTGCTGTGGTAGTGTCATCCAGGCATCAGATTTCTCTGGGCTGATGGGCACAGTGTTGCAGGACAGGCAGGGCTGCCGTTGATAAAAACAGCTTCCCACAGCTATGCAAGAAGAGTTGGCATATTGTTCGGTGATCAGTCTTATGTTACCACCACGAGGAACGGAGCCTATTCTTGGGGGACATTGACAGGTGTAAACCCCAGCTATAATAGAACCAGATGTACTCCGCTGTCTCCCTCAGATCCCGGCTAATCTTTATAAATTTTCCCAAAAGCCCTTTTTCCTAATTCAATAATAGAACGTCTTTAGAGTCGCGTTCCACAGCGGACCGAAGCATTTCAGAAACTAAGCCCGTGAAAGAAAGTGACAGGAGGGCTCTATAAATACAGTCCCTGTGCTGCAGCAAGAAATAAGTCATCAGGCTTTTTTTATACGTGACTTGTTCTGCTGTGGCATTTGTTTCCTAAGGAATAGCTTTTGTCTGCCCTGCCTTAATGTGCTGACCTCTGCGGTAGACCACAGTCAGAATGACATTACAGTCATCTGTGTGTCTCAAAAGCCTTTCTCCTTTCTCATATCCGTCTGTCGTATCTCACAACTGCATCATAGGACATGTGGTGTTCCTGGTTTTGGGTTAAAAAAGGCTACACCATCCCGTCCAAGCAAATTAACCTTAACTAAACCATGCTTAGCGAAGATTTATCACAGGTTTTTGCTAGTGGCTGTAATGTCTTCTGAAGTTTTTGCATAGAAATGTAAAATGGTCTTAGTTTGGAAACTTTCTAAACCATAGGTTTAGCGGTAAGAGGAAGTAATGGGAAGAAACTAGTTTTCTCATTTTTTGAATCTGCTCAAGCTTTTTCAGCCTTTACTTCAAATCAAGACCTGATCCATGTTATTTCCACCTTTCAGACTTGTGACATGTCACGTTTTCCAAATAAACATTAAGTAGAGTTTACTGAGGCTGATTGCATGTCTTGCAAAATAAAAACCTCTATTCATTTCCAGGATTCTTGCTATATCTGTAAAGTCATAAGATCCCAGCAACTGGCCTATTGTTGCAGTTTGACTGATGTGCTGGGCTGGCATCAGTCCCAAAGTTTAGTAATTACTCGACACAGCACTCATTTTAAATATTTAAACATGAATGGCTTTGGGTGTCGTGTATCAGAAAAAAGAAACAACAGAAAATAAGTGGCACTGGGACATTTGAAAATGACCTCTGACCTTTCCCCCTTGTTGAATAGGCAATGCCCGCCCAAGGTCTAGTGCATTGTGGGAGGGGAAGCGTTTCAGAAACTCATTCCAAATTCACTGAACGGCTGCATTTTCATCTCGCCCTGATTAGTTTGGCACAATCTTTATCAGTATGCATCGTTACTTGATGGATGTCCGGGCCACCTTAAAATAAACAAGAGCCGGTCACACAGTACAGACACAAGACACAGTAATAAGACACAAGAAACAAGTGCTAGGGTCATTTTGTTTTTTCTTTTTTATTGAATATATTTATGATCTTTGAATCATCATTGCACATAATTCTATCTTTCGTCCTTGCCGATATTGCTGCCTTTCAAAGGATACAAATATAGAAAGTCCATGAGTTCAATGGTTGCCTTACTGAAAACAGAAAAAAGGGGGGTCCCCAAAAAAACCAACTGCTTGTAGCACCCAAATAAATAAAAAAAATTGACATAGATTTGTTTTAATAAGGAGGCAGTTCTAAAAAAACAAAAGCTTCATGCAATGCACAGGTGGTCAGAAACCCTTCAGAAAAATCATCAAGCAACAGGAACAGCAATAGTACAGTATATTCAGTCTTGCAATACAAAACTATGTACTTTAGGACAGGGGTGGCCTGGTCCTGGAGGTGTGTCTGCAGATTTCCAGAGCTCTTTAAAGCAGCAGCTCCTCACAAGCTGGGAGAAATTGTGGAATTGGTCCATTTCAGCCAATACCGAGCTGAATTACAGTGGGTCATTTAGATGAATAATCCGCGGACTCACAGAACCAGAACAGACCTGTTTCAGAATTTCTAGCATTGTACTGTTTAAATCATTTTTGTGACGGAGGGGGTAAGATACCAAAGATTTACATCATCTTCCTGTTTATAATTCACCAGAATACTTTTTAAGAAAGTACTAAACCCGTACAAAAACAGCATGAGATCAAAGGTTGAAGGAAACACTAAATCATTACTAACATTTTCCCATAAGGAAGGGTCTCTCCATCTGGCCTTTTGCCCAAGTCCCAGGATGAGAACTCTCTAAACAGACGGGTGTAGCACAGAAATGCGCTTCATGATCACCATCTACAGTATGGTTTTTTGCTCTGGAACAGTGTGAGAGTTCCAGCACTCTGTTGTCTAAGAGAACTTCATTACTCCAAGTTTCAGATGACCCTGAACCAAGTGACCAAGCCTGTCTGTTGCAGGAGATATTACAGCACTGCGCAGCAATACGGAGGTTTCATTATAAACCCAATGGAAATGAAAGGAGCCTTTCCCAGTGAATGGTGGCCAAGGCGGTTCTGGAGGTTTTCAGATGCTTTTCTTGCCTTTTACTATGCATTTACTTCCTTGACCACACTTTTGCATGCATTTACTCTGATTTTACTGTGCTGTAATGTGATTTACGATGTTTTAACTGCAGTATACCACAGTAAATCTTTATCAAAGTCTTGCATCAAGGCATAGCCACCTGGCAAGAGGTGGCTATTGTCCAGAAATAATTGAACTGATGGATCACTAAACCAGGCCACACTGCTCCCCTGTACAGTGTGTCTGAGCATTCCCACGTACCAGTGAAATCTGCGGGTCTGTGGCTATACACTGCTGAAGTGGGCTATCACATTCATGCACTTGACAAAAGTGGACCACGTTAGGGTGCTCTGCTCAGTTTTCCCCCTGAGGTTTCTCTGAGGAGTTAGAAACAAGCTGACGGGCGTCTGTATCTGTATCCGCTCCGTGCTGAACAAATCCATCCCACACATTCAGATACAGTCAGCACTGAGTCAGGTGGTCACCTTCGTAGTGCAGTAAAGTTAGAATAGAGTTTGGGGTAGCAGACCATTTAAAAATAAAACATTCCTCATTCTTCATATTTAAGGTTGTTTTCTGGTATATTATTTAAAAAATGGCATCACTAAGGTATGGACTCGCCAGAAGTTGAATGACCGGACACTGGCAATACACATGAAATCATCTTCTCAGGTCATACTCTTACGGGAACTTGAACAATAAATTGCAGATACAAAAATACCTTTTGAACCGAAAGCACTACTGATAAACCATAGTTACATTTCTTAAAAAATAACGAATCGGTAAAAAAATATGATTTCCAGTATGCAATGGCTTTGATCGCAATATCAACATGTCCACTCCACTCAGGACGCTCAAACAAAGTTCTCCAAACTCAAAGGCCAGTCTCTTTCCTCCTGCCACTCCTGCCTTCGGACTGGATCACTTCTGGGGTGATTGGACACTCTCAGTCCAATGAGGGCGCCAGGCTGTCTTCGGCGCACCGGTCTGAGGGCAGCGGACTGAAGAAGGAAGTCAGATGCCTGTGGTGGATCTCACACCAGCTGCCTCTTGTCCTAGTCTCAGTACCGAAGTCATCTGAATAACATGTGACTCTAAGGCAAGACCCGAAGGATCATGTCGGCTCCATTTACCCCACACCCAGAGCTTAGGAAGGGCGACAGTTTTTCAAAAGACAAAGGTGGATTACAGATGTTCTTCCATTAATTGGAATCCGTGCCCAATGATGTTTTTAACAGCAGTATAGGAGAATTGCTATTGATATCAAATTAACCGGTACCTTACTGGTGAAGTTGCGCATTGTTCAAGCTATTAATATTATATATGTTCCATCTCTCCAAGCACAGTGTGTGCTTCCCCCTGTCTGAACAGCACTCCCTGCGGCCCAGATCCAATGAGCATTGGGATTCGGACGTGACAGGCTTTGTTTCCTGTGAGTGGTGGGCTTCGACCTTCTCCCCAGTGGAAACCAGCTCTTTACAATTTGCACTTATGATTTAATCTGGGTCAATATTTCAATATTACTTTTTCCCATCCATCATAGCTTCCAGAATACCACTTTGGTGTACGTGCATAAAAGACAAAGTAAATAATACTGTCTTTTAAAGATTAGGATTTTGACTGGTTATAAACCTATCATAAGTTAGATTTTCAGAGATATTTGACTTTAAGTTCTTTCACAAACATGAATCAGACAGAAAGGATTCCTGTGTGGTGATACACATAGCAAACGAGTCCGTTTCTGTTTCAGCTCCTCTCCACGTCGTGGGCCTATCCATTTTAGACATTAAAGGTTGAAACGCAAACCTCCTCTGCCTCTCTTCAGTCCTGTGCATGGCAATACTCTGTCATTCCACATTTGTCCAAGTACACGGCACTCATCCACATCTCCAAAACGTAAAAAAAGAATTTAAAAAGTATAGAAAATAGAGCTCTGACATATGTACACTTGAAATGAGCCCTGTCCTTCACCCGTATTCTCCAGATTTCAGTTCCTTCTCCTGTTTCTCAGAATTCCTATTCCATGTGTCGCTGGAGATTCCCTATCTGCTGTCCTTCCTGCTCACAATAGCATGGGTGGTGCTTCTTGTTAGCATGAAGTCTGGATATTCAGAAAGGGCTTCATGCAGTTTACCAGGGGGAAGCTAATTAATGTTGCACAGAGCAGAACCATTTATCAGGGACAACAAATCATTCCTGCCGGGACAGCTTGTGAAGTCCTCTGGTGGCTTCTGGTCTCTTTCCCTTATTTACCAACCTGTGCAGGGCCGCCAATTCAGCATGTAACAAGCACAGGACAGAGTTTACTTCATAGACAATGTCCGTTCTCACAGCAGAGCTATATGAGCTAGAAAGAGCCCATGTCCCGGCAGAAAACGTGGCATTCCCTTTACTGCGTTGCTGAACTACCCACTGGAGGGAAGCAGGATCTTTGGCTGGTGTAACACTAATTTATTTCCCCACTTCACTTCCTTTCTTTCAGATTTGAGTTATTGCCCTGCTCTGTGCAATACAGACTTGCTTCCCACACACGCATCGGCATTCAAGAGCTTTCTCAGAAGCTTTCTTTTTTGTACGGAATAATCAGTTATTGTGGAAGATAATTGGATAAGAGGAGAAACACAAACCGGACTCCACGGAACACAAAACAAGATGATGAAAGGACATCCACTTCCCCCTGGAGCATCAGAAATGAAACAGGAGGCAAACAAAAGTTTTGATATAAGTGCAGTAGGCAATTGTGATTAAAGAGCTGTAGGAATGCAGCTGTAAATGCATTTTTTAAGGAAAATAATATATATATATATGTTACATGTTCAGCAGCTCCACTTTTGCCAGTGGTGTTTGATTTAAAAATAAAACAATATCAACAACAAGGAAAATAAAACTGCTAGCCACATAGAGAAGACTGACTGCAACCACTGAATGATTCGCTTGGTTACTCTATTACACCATCAGGGCAGACTTGTAAAAGAACTGCAACCAGAATGTCTGTCCGTGATATTTAAATAATATTAACAACCATTTCAAACAAAGAAAAAAATTGTTTCACACTTAAGAAAAACAAACAAACGAACAAACAGAAAATACCCTTGATAAACCTAGCATTGTTACCCTCGAAAGGAAAACTGCTGTATATTTTCATTAAGGCATTCGACTGGGTCAGATCTTCACATGCTTCCTTCTTTGTAGCATCTAACTTCGTTGTCCGGGCTCTCGTTTGCAAGGAAGCTGGTTTTGGACCGAAGTTTAACAGTACTGTAGGGAAGAAGAAGACAGCGGGGAGACCACGTTAATATTTTCTTCTTAACAAAGTTCAGTGAGCTTGAGAACCAAAAGGAAAAAAAAAGACGTCGATGCCTTTACCCTGATATATCGCTTTTCCAGCCAGCACTTGCTTTTTCTAGTGTCGTAATTGTACTCTTAAAGGAACAGAAAATATTGAGAATGGAAGAAAATGTAGAAAACAAGAAAAACAATGAGAATAAAGCCTTTCAAGACCTTAGTTCTGATATTACAGGTTCGTGTATCTATCTGTATAAATATAATAAAGCACAGCACCTCATTGATGGTCTCTGACATTGCCGTTACACATAATTCACTGTATACAGATGAACTCGCACTCCATAGTGCCAAACAAACATGGCAGACCTCCATTTGTAACATTTCAGGAAAAGACTTTAAATTTAGTGGCATGCAGTTTTTAAAACACATCTTTCTTTCAAAAAAAAGGGCCGTGCTTCTTGACAGTTCACTGAAGAACAGGGATTACCACTGGACTACCATTAGCAGTCATGGAGAGCCAGAATGCTCGGCTCAGGACTGAGCAAGTTTCCCTGGTGTGCTTGGTCCATGTAAGAACATTCAGGGACGGCTATGACTGCACACAGGAGAGCTGTAATCACTGCAATACCAGTACCAGCCCTTTTCTGTCCCATTGTGTATGAGGGAGAGATTGTAGGCACCTTTAAGAGGCTAGGAACATTCATCCATTTTCAAACCACTTTGTCCAGTACGGGGTCACAGGTGCCAGAGCCTGTCCCAGCACGCAACAAGTACACTGCACAATACCCCACACAGACAGCACGCCAGGTTCAGAAGGAACCCAGGGCCCCAAAACTGCAAGGCACCAATGCTAACCAGTGCGCCACTGTGCCATCTGCCAGCTAGGCGTGTTGCGTTGTGTCCTTTCTCACAGAACTGTTTGTATTGTTTATCTTCCTTTCCATTTTGGGGATGTAGCAGGAGCAGGGGTAGTCGTACTTGGCACGACTGTTCATCAGTAAGTGAACCTTACAGGAGAGCACGGACGCCCTATGTAAGAAGAGCCAAGAGTGATTGTTCTTCCTGAGTAAACTGCGCTCTTTTAATGTGTGCGCTACAACAATGACTTTATTCTATGGAACTTTCATTGAAAGTGTCCAAACGTTCTCTGCAGCAGCCTGGTTTGGTAACCTTAATACACTCAATAAAAACAGACGGAGCAGGGCAGCGAAGGTAGCCAGCAAAGTTATTGGTGCACAACAGCTACAGCTTTCAGACATCTATGTCATGCAAATAGTGCAGACAGCCAGTATGAGCACTGACTGTCATGACCACCCCTTGCACAGTCAATCTGAGTTCCTCCCATCTGGGTGTCGATTTAGACATCTTTTATTCCTACAGCTATTCACTTGCTTAATGGGGAGAAATGAATGTAGATTTTATTTACATATTCATTTTGTTTTCTTTCTCATCCTTCATGTACAGTATGTCTATTATCTGCTAATGGGTTGGTGTTGTGTTAAATGTATGATGTATTGTGTTATTCTATGTCTCTTACCTGCCTGCATAGCAAACTTCCCTTCTGAGGCAATTAAAGGAAGGAAATAAGTACGAGGTGAGGACTGGCAAGCTTCAGGAATCTTTCCCCTGAAGCAGTGAAATACAACAAAAACATTGAAAGAAGCATCTCTTTACCTTCGACCATAGATTTGCTTAACAACCGGAAAATTGACGATGTAAATCATCCGTATACATCGATAGGTTATATCACTATGGACTCCTGTGTACGATCACGTCTGTCCACATTTGGTTTAGCTCGAAGGTGACTAAAGTCCAACAGAAATACCATCCAAAGCCCAACGCCACGAAAAACAAGAGGAGCGGGAAACACTGATAAGTCTTTCTTATCTTAAAACTAAACTAAGGCAACAGGCCCAGCTGCTGTGGCACAGACGCATGCCCGCTGGGATTCCTACACTGAAGCGAAGTGGCAAGTTAAATCATTCCCCTGCCCTGTCTGTCTGCTGTGGGCGGAGAGGCTGTGCACCAGCCCTGTGCTCTCACAGCCTGCTGCATGCAACAGGCCGAACTCCTTCCTTTTAAGCAGTGCCGAATTTTTGATAATAATAATTAATAATTGCTTACACTTACATAGCGCTTTACAGGTAATGGGGACTCCCCTCCACCACCACCAGTGTGCAGCCCCACCTGGATGATGCGACGGCAGCCATAGTGCACCAGAACGCTCCCCACACACCAGCTCTCAGTGGGGAGGAGAGCAGAGTGATGAAGCCAGTTCAGAGATGGGAATTATTAGGAGGCCATGATTGGTAAGGGTCAATGGGAAATTTGGCCAGGACACCGGGGGTACACCCCTACTCTTTTCGAGAAACGCCCTGGGATTTTTACTGACCACAGAGAGTCAGGACCTCGGTTTTACGTCTCATCCGAAGGACGGCGCCTGTTTACAGTACAGTGTCCCCGTCACTATACTGGGGCATTAGGACCCACATGGACCGCAGGGTGAGCGCCCCCTACTGGCTCCTAAGCAACCTTAGTTTTTCCCAGGTCTCCCATCCAGATACTGACCAGGCTCACACCTGCTGAGCTTCAGTAGGGCTGCCAGTTGCGTGTTGCAGAGTGATATGGCTGCTGGCTTGATGCCAGCCTTTTTTTCTTAAATTGCAAGTGTCCCAAAGGCTGGGCAAACGTTAGCATGTCAGGCAAGAGCAACAGGGAATTTCCCTGTAGGAAAAAAAACTTTGATGTCAGGCCATTTCTTACGCTGGCGGCTTTCTAGGGAAGTTGCAATGCAAGAGAGAGCAGGAAGGCAGGGAGGGTGCGGAGCTGTGACTCCTTACCCACTGTCACTACTGTTTTGATTACCATCGCATTTACTCCTTTTTGCATTTGAATGGAGCCGGCCAACCATGTGCGAAAGTGCCAGTTATTGCCAAAAGGTCCCGTTGGTTCAGGAAATCAATCTGGATCTTACCAAAGCTCCCCAGTGAATGTCAAGGACACATATCTGCTTCGTTTTCAAAATGTTCCTGTTAGTTTCCATACACATTCATATTAGTTTCCTCATTTAATAATTTATAAAGATAATAAAATCTAAAACATTTAATCGTATAAAATATTATGATTATTATAAAATTACAGTGCAGCCAAGATTTCTGAGAACTGCAGATTGTCTTGTTTCTCTTTCCCATTTTGTATTTCTGGATGGACTATTTTTAACTTCCCACGCACAGCCGTTGTCTTTTCTGTAAACGGGTGTTTTGATGTCTTTTTTTACTTCTTATACTTTTGTTTCGCTTTTGTGATAAACATAGCTGTCACACCACAGACATAAACCAAAGTCTCTTTTCAATTTTCTCACCATCTCACTTAAAGATATAGACAAGACTTGACTATAAACTTCACAAAGCTGTAATTGAATAACTATATTCCACGGTAGCTATGGCGCATTAGTGACATGGGTCTATCTTGTACTTTATTGAAGCTATACTTCTATACTGAAATTGGGTTTTCATTGTAACCACTGAATAATACAGTCACCTCCAAATGTATTCACCCCTGCCCTCAAAGAAAAAGCACCCAAAAAGATCATATACTGTAGAAGAATGAAGCACAAATTGGATAATGTCTCACTTAAAAGATTCCAATACTCTTATACTGCAATCACATTACAGCAATGCACAGAGCTGACAAACAGTCATATCTGTCATACACATTTAAGTGGATTCCAGAAAACAAGAGGGTCACATTTATTCCCACACCCAAGTAGTTCTTTAAAGAAAATCTATATTGCTCTCTCTTCTGAGCTTCCTGAAGCAGGGTCTCTGGTGATAAAGACAGCAGAGCAAGTGAGGTCACTGAGGGCCACCTCAGTCCATCTCATGATGCCCACGTCAATATCTGTTTCTAGCACTTGTTTGGGGAATGGATTGGGCACCCACACATAACTTGTTTTGCGTGGGTAAGCAAGAATCAGGAATCCACACATAATGTCTCATCTGGGGCATTGAGAATCAGGCATCCACACACCATGTCTGGTTTGGGGAGTCAAGGATCAGGCATCCACACACCATGTCTGGTTTGGGGAGTCAAGGATCAGGCATCCGCACACCATGTCTTTTTCCGGGGAATCATGAGTCAGTCATCAACACACGATGTCTAGACAAGAAGAGGACTGCTGCCTCAATGTCAGTGACATCAGCAATAACACCAGCCGACAGGCAGTGGTCTTCACAGTGAATGCAGAAGAGCTTCTGGAGGCATCACAGCTGGTGTTTCTCCTGATTCTTGAGGTATTAATTGAAATGACATGGAGGCAGGTCACCCAAGGCCACAGTCAGAAAATACACGCAGTACAAAGCTCCACATTACCAAACATGGGGAAAGCATATAATAGCAACCACTTACTCTAAACCAACAGAAGTCACTCACAGGAGTTGGGGTGAGATACAGACTGTAACCTGTGTTTCTCCTGTGCATTTCCAGTTTGTGGAGTTTCCCAAAATGTTTTAATAAGCTGCATTTGCAATTCTGGTTCTCTAGCACCAGATGAATACCTCGGCCATAGAGGGAACAAGAGAGCACTGCTCAGTGCCGTTTTACAACACGTGCAATGTGTTAAAACGAAATAGCAGATGAAAAACTATAAGAAATGTTCAAAGAGCAAATGTTAGCGTGACCATCTATAGCAAACAAGTCGTTAACTATTTTTATGAGATTCCACTGCTATGGACTCATAGCTCACATTTTAATTGGAACTTATTAGCAGACAAAGGGTAATATTTAAACTGAGCGCATTCCTGAAATATGAAACGTGACACATCTGTAACCCTAAACCTATTCAATTCCCCATCACTGCCTTTGATACACAACTAACAGAGCCCTTAGTAGCAGTCCAGTACTTTCTCAGCACAAATGAATTGTTCACATTGCCAAGCAGCATAAATGTCCTTTTTCTGGGCTTTGACAGCAGT